ATGAGCCAATCAAATTTCAAGAATCTGCAATAAAATATTCTAGAACCCGTTTCCTTTTTTGGTATATCCCCTGACTGAAGTTGATGAATTCTTGAGACGAATTTGGTATGATCTTCGGTTCCGTTGCCGATATGAAACATTTGATTTGATTAGTGTATTAATTAATTGCATTTACTCAAGATTAATAATATTTATCGAGCACATATTATATTTAGATTAATCCTGAAAAATATATATATATATATATAATATATTTATTTGCGAAAAGAATGAATGTATATGGTATGATAATATAATAAATACTGCCACATTATTAATTAAATTCAATCAAATTTGAAAGGAAAAAAAAAAATCTTTCTTTTTTTCTTATGCATGTTAAAAATAATTTTAAAATATCAAAAAAAATTTTCAATTTTTTTTGCATTTAATAGATTCAAAGTTATAACGTTAATAATTTTGATGAGAAGGTTGAAGATTTTCGGGAAATAAATTAAATAAATTAAATAAGGAAAAAAAAAAAAAAAATACGACGTTATATAAAAGTTTATAGTCATAAAATTACGAGAATGAGCAACGAAAAATCAAGTTCACTTAAAAAGCCTAATGTAGCTATCACGGCAAGTTCATTTTATTCAAGAGAAACGCTATCAACTCCTTCGGTTAACACAAAACGTTCATCAAATTCCTCAGTAGATACACTTGTAACTCTTCCATTGGATCAAACAAAAATAGATATACCTTCACCTGCAATAAAAAATGAGAAAGTTGCAATTCCGACTTCTTTATCGTCAAATCCATCCGTTATTTCAACGGTTGTAGAAAAAGAAAAATTAAATAGATCAAATTCAATATTACAAAGATCACTTTCATTCTTGATTCGCTCGGAATCAAAAAAATCCGAATCGCAATTAGTTAAAGTGCATCGATATACCATATACGATGATGAAACAGGAGAATTTATAGAAATTGTAGATGAGGAGTGGGAAGGTGATGGCCCACGACCAAGAAAATCTACGGACTCTCAAAAAAAGGGTGTAATAATATTAGACAAAGATTTACCAAGTTTACCCGAACCTCCTGTAATTAAAAAGAAAACACCAATAGCGAAATTCAATCAATGGTTAAAGGATAAATACCCTCGTGTTAATAAATACAAATTATTAATAATAGTATCTCTGATACTTATAATACTATTAATGATCATAATTTTGGCTGCCACTGGAGCTTTTGCTAAATCTAAAAATAATGGACTTCAAATGAATGGAAAGGGAGATGGAACATTTTATGGTAGGAAATTGATTCAATAAAAATTACCGTTTACAATTTTTTTTAACCTGTTTTAATGTAATCATTAGATCCAGGTATTGGCATAGGAGCGTGTGGCAAGATTAATACGGCTGATGAGTTTATTGGTGCAATGGTAAGTATTACCAAACCCGATTTTTACGTGATCCATGTCAAATCATTCTCTTTTAATTCAATCTAGAACGCTCAACAATTTGGGGTGTCGCCTATCTGCGGTAAGTGCGTAAACATCACCGGGCCAAAAGGAAGCGTCAAAGTCAAAATTGTAGACAAGGTATGAAAGAAGTACTTCCGTTAACGAGTGATTTTATTTTTCATTATACAAAATGTTGCTTTTCTTCGAACATTAATTTAGTGTTCTAAGTGTAAATTTGGCGATATTGACATTTCTCCAGCCGCCTTTAATGTAAGTACAAATTACTTCAAAGATATTACAACTTTTTGCTAACTCGTTTATTTAGGCTATCAGTGACGGATCACAAGACCGTATATCGATTACTTGGGAAGGGTGTTAAATTATTTACATATCATATCAAATTAAATTTCATTATTTCATTATATTTTATTTTTAATTTACAATTCTAATTTTAACAAACGATACAATTAATGGAGTGACTGGATTTTTTGAATTTTTTTACCTTTGTCGGAAAACTACCACGAAAATTATATGGGGACAGTAAATATAAAAATAATCGTTGCTAAAAAACGTCAAAACTTTATCGTTAATAAAAAAAAAAAAGATATTCTTTTTCCGTCAAAAAATTTTACATAGGATGCTATAATTGTTATCTATATTAAATATTTTGTTTAAGTACAAATTATCATTTACTCGCACGATTATGAAAAACTTAAAATATATGAATGCTTAAAATTTATAATCTTAGTTTTATTATAATTTTGCTAGCAATTGGCATTTATATTTTCGAGCTTATCGTTTGATTTATACACAAAAAATTATACATTAAATAATTAATTACAATTTGAAAGAATTGTAAGACAAAAAAAAAAAAAACTCAGCAATTGAAATTTGTTCAGCATTTGAAAAATACTAATCCAAAGTTTTTACTATAGATATATACGAATGATGGATTGTATAAAATTGTTATTGTAAAGAAAGGACGTAATTGCGTCTCAACAGTCATTATCAATAGTCCTAGTTCAAATAATTCAAATTCCGTCCGTCAAGTCGCATTTCATCTCGCTTGATTCCGCTATGATGATTACTTGTAAAAAATCTAAGAAATCGCCAAAGGCATTTTACCATGCATTGTTAGTTGCCAAATGCAATTGTGTGGCAAGATGTATTTTAGCTCTGTTTGATAAGTAATAATAGAATATTATGAAATTACAATATTTGTCATGGTTGAGAAATTTATATTTCTCAACACTTGAATGTGAGAGGTAAGGGAAGAAGAATAGGGTCATGAATTGAAAATGTTATATATTTTTAAAATAAAGGAAGGTTTTGAAGTTGGATTATTCGAGTTTGAAATTGGTGTGAAATGTGTGAAATACTAACGCCAACATCATTCTTTTAAATAAACTTTTCTTTTGATTGTTTCGATTACAATTTGGATTAGCGAATTAAATTTTCACATGTTTATCACTTCATTCTTTAGCTTGTCGTTTGAACTGCAGTCAAAATACTTGACCATAAACTTGTTCACTTGAGAAAATATTGTGAAGGCAACCAAAAAAATTTGTAATACACTATTTTTAGTCAAAAACCTGTTATGAATCACATTCGAGAGAGAACTTTCACAATTCCTTTATTATTCTACTTTTTTTGGTCAATTATGATCGTTTTTTTTAAAAAGATCCATTAACGTTAAATAATTTTTGATAAGGTATATTCTATTTGATAACTATTCGATCAATATGATAATTGCTTTAAATTTTAATCTTGCCTTTCAAAACATTTATAAAAACTTGATATAATACTATATTAACAACCTTTTTCAAGTTTGTAATGTAAATATACAAAATATTATATATTTCATAAATTAATAATGTCTAATTCATATTATACTGTATAACAATGTTTTAAATGCATAATTATAGTGAATATATAAGTTCTAGTTTACTTTTACTCAAAATAACATAACATAATTAATGTAAACCTTCAGATAAATTATATATAATAAAATAAAAAAATGTAAGTCCTAATTTTTATTCTTTCATATTTATTTTAATCTTTAAATCTTTAAAATAATATTAAGTTAATAATGTCAATACAATTCTTATTTTGTAAAGATTTTAATAAACTAAAATTCATTTTAAAAATAAATTAGTAAATCTAATAAAGTTTATAATTATTAAAAGATTAATCTATTAAATGCAGTATAATAAAAATTAAAATTAAATAATTTATTATATATAATATAGATTTTTAATTATTTAATTTATTAAACTTACTAATAAATTTTACTTTTTAAAATTTAAATTCTTTGGTTTTAATATTAAAATATATATATATAAAATTAAATTGATATAACTTTCTCAATAATTTAAACTATTTTAAACTTTCTTTTATCTTTACTAGAAATACTCTGAGTAGCATCTATATAAAAGGTTCAGTCAGAACAAAACTTCTTAATCTTTTTAGAAGTTAAAGATAAATCAGTAATATAAAAAATTTGATTTTTCTCTTTTTTTCTGATTTATAAAAATTTTCTTATTTAAAAAATTTTTTTTTTATTATAATATTTTATAATAATTAATAATAATTTATAAAATAAAATTGCATTATATTAATAATATAAATAAACTTTTTATATTATACATTTTATTAATTGATTAATAATTATTAATATTAAAACATAACATTAGATTTATTATAATAATTAAATATAATGTTATTTATTAATGAACTAATTAAAATTATTTTTAATAAAATAAATTTTAAGTATAATTATTAGATTTATAAATATATAAAAAATTTAAAATTTAGCAATTAATATTTCAATATTTATATATAAAAAAAGTTTAAAGTTTATAAATAAATTATTAAATTTATTACTTTTTATTTAAATATAAATATTAATATTAAAATTACTAATAAATCTTATATGATAAATACTTTATATTATATAATTTTAGGATAAAAAAACATCAATATTTTTATAATATGTATTTTACAGTTAATATAAAAAAATAAATAAATTTTATTTTATTTATTAAATATTTTTTTTAAAAAAAAATGAAATCCAAATTTTAGAAATTTTTTTAGAATTTGTTTTCTTACTATTAAATTTTAAAGATATCATTATGAGTTAATAATTATAATATAATTACTATAATTATTAAATGTTTTTATCAAATATTTATTACTTTAGTATTTACTAGATACTTATATACTTAAAATTTTAGAATGACAATATATTAATTTGTAATATAATTGAATCTTTATTTTTAAAGTTTTCTTATCAATTTTTTAATACATTATTTAAATTTCTTGAAAAATCAGAAAAGATATATTAACTGATTTTTCATTATGATTTTGCTTTATCACTTTTTCATAATATAAATTTTAATTATTCTTTTTTTTTATAAATATAAAATATTAATCTTTTGTATTTTATTAGATTTATTAGAGTTTACTTAGTAATATTTAAGAATTTATATTATTAAAAACTAAAATTACTTATTTTATTATTAATAAATAAAATTAATAATAACTAATTTAAATTATCAATCTGATAATAATATTATAATTAAAAGTTAGAATTAAATTTATATTTAAATTTAAATTAGATATAATAAATCTAGATCCTTTATTTTATTTAAATATAATAAATCTAATTTTTTCAATTAATTTAGTTAATTTAAATATTATTTAATCATAAAATTTCATAAAATTTTATTATAGATTTTAATAAATTAATTTTTTTATAAAACTGTTAACCTTTATTCATAATAAATTTAAATTCAAAAAAATCTTTTATGACTTTTTATTCTATATAAATCTTAACTTTTAAAAATGATTATTTTTTTTAACTTCTTTCTTAATTATAATGTTTAATATTAAATCTACATTTTACATTAATTTATTAATAAATATAAAAAATATATAAATAATTAAGTATTATATCTTTAAATAATAATAGATTATTAAAAAGAAGTAATAAAAATTACATTTTTTATTTTTTTTACAAAGACTTAAATAAAATAATATAATATATTATATAATTTGTGAATGTATTAATAAAAAATCTTATTCTATAATTAAAAAAATAAATTAATTTCAAATCTATCCTGTTAATTACAAAATAAGTATTAAATAATAAAATTTAATTTTTTAGTATAATTAGATGTAAATGATAAAATAGGATTATAAAAATTCACATATATTATATAATTATATTTATAAATTTTCATAATATAAAATTTTTTAAAGTTTGTATTAGTTAAAATAAAATTAAAGGTAAATAATAAATTATTAATATAATGAAGCTCAGTAATAAGAGCTTACTTATCTTTTAATAGTTTTTATTATTAAATTTGTATAGCCTTTATATATTTTTAAAAATGATACTTTTCAGAATTTATTCATGTTTGTGAACCTGAATTTGCAATTCTCTATAAAAAATAACAAAGAATTTAATTTATAAAGTATATATTTAATGCAAAAATTAGCTTATTAATTTACTTAAAAATACATCTATATTAATTTATTTTATTACAGATCTTTAGACATTAAAAAGTAATTATAGATATATTAGAATAATAATAACTTAATTTACTTCTAATTTTAATTTTTATGCAGTTTTACTTACTTATAATTATTTAGAATATCTATATACCAGAGAATTTATTTATGATAAATTATATCAAATTATTAAATAATAATATTTTATAATTTTTATAATTATGATTGATAATAGATTAAACATGATTAAACATATATAACTTTTTAACTAAACTTTATCTTCTATAAAAAGGACTAAATGAATGAATAATCGTGTTCTAATATTGATAAATACCTTTTATCTTGGAAAGCTTATAGAAAAATAGAAGACTCTACAGTTTACTCAGTATACGTCAAAAAGTTATCTAATATTACTATTATCTTTTTGAATTTCTTGGACTAGCGTAGTAATTTTATATAGTATATACAAGAGATATAAAAAGTATTGGCCAGTTTTGAAAATTTTATTACAATATAACTAACATATTAACTTTATTTTTTTTATTTTATTAAATTATAAGTCAATATTTTATTAGACCTCTATTTGTAGCAAAAATGGTCTGAACTTGACGTGATATAGACTTGATTAAATTTTGATAATAATTTACAAGTATTACATTCTATTCCTCCTTAATCCACTGTTTAATTACATAATACTTGATGGTTGAGAATCATGCTCACAAATTCTAATCTCAATATATGACTAAATATTTTTTATAGAGTTAATATTAAGACTTTGTACTGGTCAGAAAAGCAACTTAACATTTAAGAATCTAATAAGAAATATGTGACTTTTGCGATGTAGACAAGTGCGTTATCTTCTTAAAA